ATCCTTAAGCGGCGGCTGGTCCTATTTGGATCTTAAATGTGCCCCAAAATTCCCATGCTGAAGTCTTGGTCTCCGGCTGAAGGAGGGTAGAAATTTTGGAGTGGGATCTTGTTGGAGGGAGTTACGTCATTAGGGTGTACCAGGACCCCAAGTCTTTCCTTGCCGCTTTGCTTCCCAGCTGCCATGTAAATGAACAGCTCTCCTCCGCGCCGTGCTGGCTTCTTCCCCAGCTCCAAAGCAACAGGGTCAAGCACTCTACAACTGACATGGCTGAAACTGTGAGCCAAAATAAACGCTTCTTCTTTTGAAGCTGCTCATCTTGGGCCTTTTGTCATGCTGACGGTGCAGTATCCAGGGAAAAAAGCATGGGGGAAGGTGCCCACACACTGCTCCTTCCTCAATGAGGGCTGAGAAGGACAACCTCAGAAACTAAAGTTGGCTGAGCTATCTCGTGCTTCACACGTCTGTGGCGACAAGTGATCAACCTCACCATTGTGGTTTTAAGTCTCACAGGGCGGTGGGGCTTTGCTGTGCTCGGCAGCCAGCTCCACCAACAGAACAGGAGGGAGTGGGATGGCCTTGAGCCCAGGTTGACCCTAAGGGATGAGTGGGCTGTGGCTTCACTTGCTCTTGGCCTATTCTTTAGGGTAGCTCCTGGTCTCCATTTTCAACTTATAACAGTGACTGGCTGGTCTCCTGTCAGTCAAAGGAGATACTGTTCCTTCTGATCCTGGAAAGTGATATCAAAAGGAGAAGGAAAAGGGGTGACAAGTCCCACTGAGAGAGAGAGAAACCTCTGCAAAGGGAATGTGGAATACACAAAAGATGATGGCTCATAGGTGAGAAAGAGGGACAGCTCACAAACACTCACCCCAGAAGGCACTGCTCACCCTCCAGACTAGCTGTTGAGTGTGCGCTATACAGCCCCCTAAGACACAGAAGGAAGCAAACAGGGACATTTGGTTTTGCTTGGGTAGTAACTCGCGGTTCAAGCTATCTGAAGAACACTCACAGCAGAAGGGTTACTGTTTTGCCAGTCAGCAAATATAAGTGGCAGGGCCAAACCCAGGGCCTTGTGCACATCAGGCATGAACTTTCCCAGCCCTGGGCTGATGCTCTAGCCTTAAAGTGCCAGTGCTTCTGCTCTGATAACTGTCGGGAGCTTGTCTAAATATGGCCACGGCTGACCACAGGATTTGTCTTTGTCTTTGGCTCAGTGTCTGAACACAGCAAGTAGCAGGCACTACTACATTAAAAAAAAAAAAAAGCTGAAGTGTTATAGAGATGGAAACATCTTCAAGTTGACAGGATCGTCATTTGACAACTGTAACACTGTACATTGTAACATTGTCATACTGACAATTGTAACATATTGACTTCTCTGTGAGAAATAAAGTGCTACCCCACTTTTGAAGGTCGACCTATAGAGAATATTGACCTGATACAGAGAAAAAAATTAGCACATGACAGTCTATTATTCTCAACAGGTGGGTTAACATTTCCTTCCACCAAGTGTTAAATGAGGTTCTAAGAACCAGTCCCACAATGCTTAGATACTCAAGAACAACACTAACTGAGCAACTGCTTAGCTTAGTCATCTTTACCTCAAGATACCAACAGACATTTACATATTACTTTTCTAGCTTTAAGACAGGAATTACTTTATGCTTTACTGTCCCAGACTATAAAGTTAGAATGACTGGAGGTGGGCTTTTGGTGGAGAGCTCAAGTCTCCGGACTCATTCCAATCTCTCCATGAAATCACCTTTGTGGCCATTACTGAAGTTATCATACTAAAGTTCCAATGGGGCTTCATTGATGCCCCAGAAATAAAGTCTAGCGCAGCTCCTGGAGCCTGCCACACAAAGTGCCTGCACCTATTCCAGTCTGTTGTCAAGAAGGGCATGCAGAGGGATCATTTCATAGGATCTCTGCTCTTCTCACATCGGTTCAGAGGCTCTGAACATAATAAGGACAGACTGAAAAAAGGATCACACCCCCTTGCTCATGCTAGATGTGGGATGTGTGACTGACTGCTTGTTCAATCATAAAACTCAGTATGTGATATTTCACAACATTTCCTTTAAGTAGCAGTTACATTCGAGAACCCTCAATGACCTAACCACTTTTAAAATTTTTACAAACTCTCTGTTCTGTCTTTTTATCTGACTGGAGAAATAGTTATCAATAGAAGGTACATGACTAATTGAGACAATTACTTTACTCAAGGTCATAAACTAACAATACAAGGAAAAATGCTATTTGATTGTGTCTGACCTGGGATCAAATGACTTCAATTCTTCATGTATCTCAGTTGAGCAAAAACCTGAGACAATGTTAAGACTGATCTGCCGAAGGAGGGTACTGTGGATCCTAGGCATCATCAAAGATGATCTTGGACACTATCAAAGGCTGCAGCGGCTACAGTTTCCATAGGGTCACATTCCAGCTTCTCATGATTGGGACACCAGGCTAGCTCAGCTGCTCCGGACCAGCTCTCACAGTCCCATAGGAGGGGAGATCACCTGGAACTTTCTGTTTTCTACTGGAATAACATTCTTATTCTCATTGCTAAATTACCCAGTAAATGAACCTGACATTATTGTGGGACACATTAGGGTCACTGCAGGGTAAAAAGTGAAAAATTGCCAAAGAAATCCACCTTGGCCCTGAAACCAAGTCAGTGAACAAAACACACTTGGAACTTTGTTTTCTACTGGAATAACATTCTTATTCCCATTGCTAAATCACCCAGTAAATGAACCTGACATTCTTGTGGGACACATTAGGGTCACTGCAGGGTAAACAGTAAAAAATTGCCAAAGAAATCCACCTTGGCCCTGAACCCAGAGCCAGTGAACAAAACACACTTTGGCCCTGAAACCGGGACCAAAAAAATACACCTTGACCCTGGAACAAGAGCCAATGAAAGAAACATGCCCTGGCCCTGAAACTAGAGGTAAAAGACTAAAAAGGGCCAGGAAAGAAACACACTTTGGCTCTGAAACCAGAGCCAAATCTGCCCCATACCAACTGAACACAAAATAACCAATCCCTGAGCACAAAATCTAGCCAATCTGAGTTTGTCCAAGCTCAAGGGGATCAAAATCTGACCAATTCTCTCCCTTCCCTGAAATCTTCACCCTGGAATAACTCAAGCCCTATGTAAGCCCTCTGCCTGTTTAGTTGGCAACTGTCCTTCTCCACCCTGACGGAGGCAGCCACTCTCCGGGACTCTTCCCAAATAAATCTCTTCAAAGAGTTCTGGGTGAAGATCGCTCACTGGTGCAGAGCAGAATCTCTATTGGGAATCTCCCTGAGGAAACCAGAGCGGAAGGAGCAACTGACACCTCTGCTGAAGCAATGACTTTTAGTTAGAGCTGGAGCAGATTGCTACGTTCTGCAGGGCAGAATGAAGCAGAAGCAGCAGCAACTTGGGCCTGAGCTGAGAAGAAACAGATACTTCTTTTGGGAAACTCCTAGGGGGAGTGGAGTAGAGCCTTGGAGAGGGAGGACTGCCACGTCCTGATAGGGGACTGTCCCCCCCAGGAACCCAGTTTCGGGTACAGCCTGACTTCCCAACAAGTCCTGATAGGGGACTGTCCCCCACAGGAACCCAGTTTCGGGTATAGCCTGACTTCCCAACAAGTCCTGATAGGTGACTGTCCCCCACAGGAACCCAGTTTCTGGTACAGCCTGACTTCCCAACAAGTCCTGATAGGAGACTGTCCCCCACAGGAACCCCGTTTCAGGTACAGCCTGACTTCCCAACAAGTCGGGATACCTTTCCTTCAGAGCTATAACACTTGCAGTAATTGGGCACACAACATCTGTGGTGGGTGTAGGTCCTCCACTCATTACCCGTACCCTGTAGGCTAAGAACTGCTCTGGTCTTACTACAATCTTACAAGTACACTACTTTTGGAAGCACACTTAACTGTAATGTTTTAGCACACAATGTACTGAAACCTCTATAAAATACACAAAGGTAGGTAGAATGGTAAGTAGGATGGCAGCTTTCAGACTTACAGGTATCAACAATTCGGTTACTTACTGTGCAGTACTAGGAGTTGACCCCACAGCTTTGTGCAAGCTGGGCGAGCACTCAAAATGAGCAGCACCCCTAGCCCCTTTATTTGGTGTTTTGAGGCAGGGTTGTACTCTATAGTCCAGGCGGGCCGGAACACTATAACCTCTACTGACCTCTAACTCCTCACAATCTTCCAGCTGCAGCCTTTCAAGGACTGGAATTACAAAGGACCAACCACGGCCTGCTTTACCATTTGTTTTAAAGGCTAATGTCTTGTTTGGGAAGATAATGTTCCCACCATTTTTACATTAACTACCCTCTTGTTTGACCAGCTGAGAGGTAGGCAAACAGATTAGCTGGCTGTCTACATTTTCTTCAGAGGAAGGTAGCAAGATAGTCTCTTAAATCAGGCAATGATCAAAACAGTTGTTATAAAGTTCTAAGAGAATAAACACTTTCAACTTTACTTCCAAAGGTTCTATTTATAACCAATCAAAGAAAAATAATAGTTTTGATTAACCAGAATCCCTGTATGTGACATTAAATTATACTTCCTTTTTATTTATCTTATATATAAAAGAGAGCAAATACCTGAAAATAAGGTTCTATCATGACTGACATTCCAGGGTTCATTGCAAGGCTAGCAGATCCACCAGTTTCATTCCCCAGTCAGAAGTCGATGGGAACATGATTCCCTGACTGGTGACCTGCAGCCCATGAGCTCAGGGATTAGAGGCTCTGCCAAGTTTCTGGGATCCACCAGCACAAAGATGCGCCTTTCTTGGTATGTATAACATCGCTGAATCCTGGTAAGTCTATCTCTCAATAAATTAATCTATTCTTTAAAAAGTCCATAAAAACAGTATTCAAGGTTGGCCTACCACAGGCCACAGTCTCCCATCAGGATGTGGCAGTCCTCTCCAACATAAGATTTTGGCTTTTTACAAAGAAAGCACTTTGTCTCATAGAATTCTGAAGACGCAGCCATGTTTTAGTATTATGAATGCCACACTATTTTAGTCAGACATAATTTAAACAGCAGTTGTCTTTTTCCCCTTCAGAGAGAGATAATAGCTTCAGAAGTATAACAATCTTTGTCTACCAGGCTGCTGTTAGCGGCTTGCCAGGACAGTCCGGCTTGCTCCAAGTCCTTCCGGCCTGAGGCTGTTTTTCACTTCCATCCTTCTATCTGCCAGAAGGGTCTTTTTAGGTAAGGAGGCCATCTAAATAGAGCAGGAAAGGGATTTCAGTGTTTGTCTTTCTGAGAAGTCATTAACCAGGTGAAAACAAAGACTGCACAGGTCAGAGTCTGTGTGTGCCCTTACCCAGCTGTGCTGCTCCGCACGCACGCGGGAAGAGAGGAGGGAGGCTCCTGTGCTCAGAGCGCTCTGCTATTGCAGTACGGCTATGGGAAAGCCCTGCAGAGTGATGAGCATCTGCTTCAACATATGATTCTTGCCAGTGTTCTACAGAAACCAAGTGACTTCTAGCAGATTTGCTGTGTTGGACAGTACTAAGCATCTCAGGTCACTTAACTTTCTAAATCAAATGAAGCACAGAGTACTGACTGGATCAACAGATGGGAAAGTAAGGAGAGGTAGAACAATCAAGTAACTCACACAGAGTTACAAACTCGTGACAACTGAAACCCAGGCTCTATCTGACTGTGGCCCAGGATTGTAGCCCACAGCAGTGCTACCGTGAGCTCCTAGTCCATACCTTAGGGGGCAAAGGAGCTTCCAGCTGTCTTCCAAGGAATGAAAGCAACCTCCTCCAGATGAGGCCACTTCCCATAAACATAATTCCTGTAATCAGCCAGAACACACGATGGTCCTGAAAGAAAAAAGGGTTCATTCCAATCACAAAGGTTATGCTCTTCAGAGATAACTCTGTTCCAGAGTTAAAAGGAGCCTTTCTGTCACCACAAGAAGTCTTCCATAGAAACAGGACCTAGGCCTGCAGCGAAGCCCAGAGACCAAGACTGAGGGCAGAGACACCTCAAGTGTCTCACAACTGGGTTCTTCTGTATTTAGGACTGCGCATAATGCAAGTGTCAGAAAGGCTGTTGCAAAAGCAAGGCTTTGGTGCCTAGGCTGGCTCTAAATTTCCTGGGCTCAGGAGACCTACTGCCACACCCTAGGAAAGAGTTGAGTCTACAGGTGTGCGCTACAACACTTGGATCAAAAAGATTTAAACAAAATAAAAAAACACTTTTCTTTTTGGCATTGAGTAAGAATATTAGAGTTAAACAGAAAACAGAGTTAGCTTCTGGGTTAGTTAAGACAGGTTGGTTAGTCCATCTCAACCCCTTGGGACCAAAACATGTTTCAGTTTATGTATTTACATATCGATGGATAACAAGGAGGAAGCGCCATCCTAACATAATCATTCTCTGTTTCACAAGCTCAACCGCTAACTTTTGAAAGGCAGGAATATAGTTAGTTGTATATGTTTTGTCTTGGTGGGGCATGTGACCTATGGCATTTTCTTTTGGAGTCTAAAGAAAAAACATTTCATATGAACCTAATATATCTAAACTAGTCCAAAGATAATTTTATATAATACTTTTAGTGCACCCACATCTTGGATGAGCCACAACAGACCAGCTATGAAATTTTCCATGCCAATGTAGTTGTGATTGGTCTTCAATTATGAGGTATTTCCCATCTCATGTTTTCAGGTTTCCACCTGCATATGGACACAGAATGATTCTTAACAAAAGCTACAGCCCAAGGAAGTGAACAGTAGTGACCTAGGCAACAAAACTGGGAGGTGAGGGGAGAGCTGTGCAGCCAGCAGTTCTGAGAAAGAACCAGAGCACAGTTGACAAGAGGGGATACAAATGTCTGAGGTGAATCCAGAAGAAGCGACTAGATGTCCACAGACCTGGGAATCTGGACTTATCCTAAGGCCAATTAGAATGTAGCGGAATATCTTTATGCAGAGGTTTGAGCTAGTCAGTCTTTTAGAAACCATATAAGACTTTCCCTGCCAGGCTTCAGAGGTTTTAGAAACGCTAGCGTGACATAAAAAGACAAGAGGGCAGAGTAGAAAGCATTTATTTTTCAGTTGAAATCCTCTGGTTTTATAGATCTGCAATTTACTACATTTTCTGGGCCTCTATTTTCTTATCTACAAAGCAGGGGAAATATGTCTGTTTCATGGAGTTGTGATTACTGCACCAAACAAGCTCTGTGGATGTGGACTTCCAGGTACAGGGCCAGACACACAGAACCGAAAATAAAATCCCTCATTACCACTGCCTCACAGGGTGGCTGTGTTAGCCAGCTCTCCCGTGTACTTGTATGCTTTAGGAAATAAAGCAGTGGAGGCTACAGTCATAGCTCTACACAGGGGATAACAATAACTGCCTGCATTCTACGTGAGTTACAACCTATGTTTAACTCTCTTTAAGGGAATATGTAAATGTGGCATTTAGTGTTTACTGTTAACTTCACTAGATTCATTAGAATCACCTAGGAGCTGCAAATCTGTGAGGGTATGGCCAGAGAGGTTTACCCAAAGGAGACTGCCCTGCTTCCTGACTGTGGACCAGGTGACGAGAGGCCTCATGCTCCGCTACCTTGCCTTTCCTGCCATGATGGATTGTAACTCCTTTCAGCTGTGAGTCAAAGTAGGTATTTTATTCTTTATGTTCCCTTTGCCAGGTATTTTGTTACAACAATGAGAACGTAACTAATATAGCAGGTCATACTTCAAAAATTCTAATCATCCAAACATTAAAAAAAAAAACCCTATTTAAAAAATTGCATTCTTACCTCTTCAAGGGAAGATTCCAAATTCATGCCAAAAGCAACTCCCATTAGTCCGAAGAGTGACAGAGAGAAGGTGCCCATGGTTAGCTGGAGATTCAGCCTCATCATCACATTTCGATGGCTGGAGAGAAAACCACCAACTCAGGCCAGAACACACAAATCCAGCAAACCTAGTGAAGGCCTACCGGGCCACTCTCCACCTTCAAAATCCTGACATGATTAATATTGTAACTTGACAAGATTTGGAGTCATCATAGAAAGAAACCTCTTGAGGTGGAAAGACCCATCCTCACCATAGGTGGCCCCATTTCCTGGCTGGGGACATGGACAAGTTCCTAACAGGACACATAACCAGTTACTTCAGGTTTCTGCCCTTGTGACTTCCTTGTCAGGCTGTGAGTCCAAATAAAACATGCATTCCTTCAGTTGCTTTTGCAGGCATCAGGAAACTAAAAACAGGTTCACTTATGGAGTAGTCACAGATGGGACAGCATGACTTCTTCCAAAAAACACATCTTTAAAAGGTGCTTTCCAGTACCAACCACAACCCCAGTCCTTACCATCTTCTGCTGTGCATCCATCCTCACCTGTCTAGGTTGATGAAGATGATGCTCTGTGAGTCGTCAATCAGGACCCGAAGCTCCCGAGCCTCATTGGAAAGGTCCTCAGCTAACCGGTAGTAGTTTTCTAGCAGCAGCTCCATCTCCTCTGCATGGTCAATCCCAGAACTGCTCTTCTCACTTCAATTCACAAGTTAACACAGTCAACAAACCTGAGCTTGCGCAACATACTGACCCCCAACTTTAGCAGCCAGTGAGAAAGTCAGCCTTATCACATCTGTTGTGACTGCATCCAATCTGTGAGAAGCTATGCCAACAGATCCTGAGCACAGTGCACTCAGCCCTACACAGATGAGTTAGCATCACTGTGCTCCAGAGCCTCAGTCTAAAAGAGACATGAAATGACACGCACCATTAGGGACTAGAAAATACAAACGTGAATACTGATGAGAAAGGGCAAATCACAGGCTACTATGAAACACACACACACACACACACACACACAGACACACACACACAATCCAGACTAAGTTGGAAAGAGCATTTCCTAGGGCTGGAGTGATGTCTCAGTGGTTAAGGGTACAAGCTGCTCTTAAAGATGCCTAGGTTTCATTTCCAGCACCCACATGGTGAATCACAATCATCCATAACTGCAGTTCTGGGAAATCTAACGCCCTCTTCTGGCCTCTGTGGGCACCAAACATATAAGTGGTATATAGACATACATGCAGGCAAAACACCTATACACATTAAAAAGAGTACTTGCCTTTGAAAACAAGCAAATACAGTAGCAGCCATTTTCTCCTCTTCCTGGATGAGCGAGCAGAGGACTAACTGCTGATATCTGCTTCCCTAAACATGCCTTATGTGGGCTGAAGCTGTGATGCGCTACTAGGCATTGCCTTTCCTACTATTGACTTAGTAAATGTGAATTACATTGATCCTTGCCGTCTCCACTTTGGCGTATTTGTACAAATTACATATTGGGAAGAGAGAGTTGTGTGTTTTGTCTTGGAATTAAAAAAAAAAAGGAATTTACTTTCACCTGCTGAGCCATCTCACGAGCCCCTTTCCTTGTTTTTCAATACTTCTTAGCTAATGAAGGCATGAGTACTTCAAACCATACCATGGTCTACTGGAGAAGCAGACAAGTCTCCAGTGACTTTCAGATCAGTGAGTTTCACACTCTGCAGGTGTTTCTTGAACCTGCTTTATGATATGCAGCAGTGACTAAGTTTCTTAGAGCTGTTTCTAAAAAGCAAACGATTTCTAGGTTTGTAAGTCAGAAAAAGTATGTAAGCTGTGTGTTTATAACAGACAAGGCTGCAGAATCCAATCCACACTCCTTGGCTTATCCCCTTCTCCTCTACCACACAACTGTTGCCCTGTGCTCCATGGGGAACCTAGTTCATCTTGCATATGTTGCTTAGCGATCCATCCCTTGAGAATAACTGTGATGTTTATGTTCTCTTCAGCCCAGCAGCTAGAATGCAGTGCACACTCAATGCAGCCTCACTGAGCTGGGCCACATGCAAGACAAAGTGACTAAGGATGAAAATGCTTATTCTCTATTTTAGACAAATACAGGCTCACCTGAAGGAAGAAACAACACAAGGCAATACTTACAAGACCTGTGGGTCACTCCACTTGGTTAGACAGAGTTCTTCCAGCATCTCCTCCTCATCCAAAAGCTCCAAAATTGACTCTTTGAAAATTTTAATGTCTGTTTCCAACTCAGAGAGGCTGTAAGAATAGTCACACAGCAAAGATCAGCAGTATAAACCTGCAACATTTCACTTAAGAATATCATGTTTAGGGCATCTTACAAGGACCCACCTATCACTTCAGCATTCACTGGTAAGAAACATTTCAACAATTATGCAAATTAGCCACACCCAAACCAATTTGAGTAACCAGCAACAAGCTCTACACAGAACAAGTTTGGTGGCTTTCAAGGTTGTGTCACTCTGGAAATTTAAAGGTTAAGGTAGAATGCTTGGGTATTTATTCCCAGTTAAGATCTCTGCACTGAGTTAGAGCAGAAGCTGGCTGAAGAGATCGGTCACCTGGACACTCTGTTCCTTTAAGAGACAAAGCCCCACCTCCTCCCCAGTCATCCCCTCCACCCCCTCTGTTGTCTGCCCTTCTGGAGAGGCAGAAGCTGCTTCTCTCTTCTCCCTTTTTTTCCTTCCCCCATGTCCCCTTCCCTTTCCCCTCCATAACCCACTAAATAAACTCTACACCCAAACTCTCTCTGCATGGCATACCTATCTGTCTGCTGCTGAGGCCTCAGGCTACATGGGACTGGTCCCCACCTCTTTACAAATGATAACAAGAGGTTCACTGGAGGGTTTACAGTAAGTAGGTTTCAGGCCAGAGAGTCAATGGAATCCTGTGATACACAGGTCTGGAGGAATTACAAGGTTTGTCATCTTGCTTATTAGATACATGCAGGGAGGGGATAATGACAGACCATTTAGTTTTTATGTGTAGTTCTGCATGTTTAATCATATGACAAGCAGGGGCTCTTTGGGTTTACTTACTCCCCTCCCCCTTTTTGAGAGAGGGTATCACTCTGTAGCCTAGGCTGGACTGCAACTTGAGGCAATCCTTCTGCCTTAGACTGCTGAGTGCTGGGATTACCGGTGAGCTACCATCCCAGTTTTGAGTATGGCTTGGACAGCATGGTGACCATTACTGCTTGACAAAGTCCCAGCATTTCAATAGTGCAGACCACACTTCACCAGCACACTTTCATTTTTAATGATTCCCAATTAATGCTTTTTCCCTTGGGAAATTTTGGGAGGGCTTTTGTAAGGGATAAAGGCCTATCTAAACAAAATAATTCTTTGGAAAAAATCATGGGCACCGTGGAACCAGGAATTCCATTGTGCCCTCCTAATCACACCAAGAACAGGAAAGTTAGAGATTTATTAGACTTGTCTGACTCCTAGGGTGAAATGCCTACAATTTGCCAGAGCCTGAGGCTATTAAGGGAAAGAGTTCAGTTAATAAATAGAGAGAAATCAGAATGGTCAGAAAAGAGACATCAGAACCTTCCCTTTTGGGAGTGTTATGAGGGGTACAGGCCCACAGAGTACAACTAAGAAACTAGTACAGTGTCTGCACTCCAGAAGAAATCCTTTTCTTAAGGTCAAGCATTTGAATAAGGGTCTCCAGTCCCTAGGGTGCTTGAGGAAAGTTCCTGCTTGATAAAGCAGTCATTCTTATCTCTAACAAGAGAAACTTGTGACTCTTCCAGAAACACAAGATTGGTACCTGCTGTCAAGGTCAATGATTCCTCAACCCCTGACTTCAAGCCACACCTCAGTTCACGTGCCCCTAGTCTCCCTTTTAATCCTGTGTGCCACTATATAGTAGGTGTAGCTTTTTTTCAATTAAATGCTGCTGGCAGCCATCCTGATTAACCCTCAGATAATGTCTGTGCCCTACCCCTACTCCACACATCCTTTTGGGACCTGAACACCCTACCCACCCAGTCTCAGGCCAAATCAAGTTTCTGGTATGAGTATTCTTTTTTAAAATATTAATTACTTATATTTATATATGTCTCTGTGTGTGCATGTGCCTGTTAAAGCCAGAGAGTGTTGCTTCCTTTAGCTGGAGTTACAGGTGGTCATGACCCAGTGCTGGGAATGAACTCAGGTCCTCAGAAAAAGCATATTAAACCATTTCTCCAGCCTGAAGCTTATTTATAGATGATAAAAGTACACTAACATTGGGCAAAGAACAAACCCTTTGATAATTTTAACTGGGGACAGGGGCCTAAGGGATAGATGGCCGAGCAGTTCAGGACCCGAGTTTGGCTCCCAGCACCTCCATGATGGCTCATTATCACCAGTAACGCCAACTCCAGGGGATCCTATGTCTTCTGACTTCTTCAGGCACCAGGCACACACATGGCACACATACATATATTAGGAAAACACTCATAAACATAAAATAAATAAATCTTAATAATAAAAAAGAGACTGGCCAGTAAGAAGGCTTGATGACCTATGATGTTCAGTCTGTGGGAATCAGAAAGTGGGAGTAGAAAACCAATCCCAGCAAGTTGTCCTGACCTCTCCACATGTGTGCACATCCTCTCTCTCTCTCTCTCTCTCTCTCTCTCTCTCTCTCTCTCTCTCTTCCTCCTCTCTCACATACACACAGAATCAAAAAAAAAAAAAAAAACAAAGAAAATTTTGGCTTTCTGAGCTGTTGTGATGGCTCAGCTGGCAGAGGTACTTTACCACCAAACCTAACCACTTGAATTAATTTGTGTCATAATTTTAATTATACTCTGAGATTTGTACTCTCCAACTTTTCTTGAAAATTTAGCAGTTAAGGACTGGGGCTGTGACTCTGGTAGAGTGCTTACCTGGTGTGTGCGAGGCCCTAGGTTCAGTCGCCAGCACCACAGAAAGAATGCTCAAACATTGACAGTTGAAGCTTGATGTGGGGGGAGGGGTGTGATCAGTTGAGAGATGAAGGGTTTAGGGCACCTCACCCACAACACACACACCCCTTTTAAGTACTGAGGACCAAGTGGGTTCTCTGGGACAACAGCATGTGCCCTTAACCACTAAGCCTTCTTTCTAAGGATCACTCCTCGCCCCATCAAGTTTTAACTGTCAATGTTTGAACATTTTTTTCTGTGGTGCTGGGGACTGAACCCAGGGCCTCACACATATCAGGTAAAAAAGTTGGGGAGTACAAATCTCTGAGTATATTTACTGAAATTATGACACAAATTAATTAAAGCAGAAAATTTAAATTTTTGGATGAATTATGACTTTAGAAAATGAACATTAGAGTGGGGGATAAATGAATTCAAATTAGGTCTATGAATTTGCTATCACAACGAAGATAACATCAACTACTAATGAATTGGGATGTCAGATGGGCCTTTATGTGCAGTATATTAGATCAATATTAGATTGTGTGTTCCTTTAGTTCAATCTCCCACCTACACTACATAAAAAAACCACATTATTTTCATTATGAAAATCAAATTCTAGCACCAAGGAGACTGCAGCAGGTTTCATGTGTGAATTCACATTGACCATCTTTCTAGACATCAACGAGAGAGAAGCTGAAGGCAGCCGTCTCTAACTCCCAGCCTGACAAGCCATCCACATTTACCTTTTGCCATTTTGGAGCAGGACATGCAGCTTGCTTCTGTCGACAGAAGAATGCTTGGGGTCCACTAATGCATCCAGGGTCTCGAGGATCAGCGGCTGCAGGATGCTAAGTTTTCCCTGAAGGGTGTTGATCTAGATAACAACATGGCCTTTCATAAGAATTAAAACAATCTTTTTAGAACTTAGGATCAGTGAAACCTCTGATTTAACAGACATTTGTGCTAGCCCAAAACACTGACAGCACTTCAGAACACCAAATTATAGATGACTCAGAGCTACTCCTCCTGGGTCACAGGAGCAGCACGGAATGCTGCAAAGGCCAGAGTTAGCCCTCTACAGACAGTTGCTATGAAAGGACTAGGGTATGATTTCTTAATGACATCCTGGGGGCTGGAGAGATGGCTCAGTGGCTAAGAGCATTTCCTGCACTTCCAAAGACCAGAATTTGGTTCCCCATAATCATGCCAGGCAGCTTACAACTGTAACTCCAGCTCCAATAGATCCAACACCCCTGGCCTCTGCTGGCACCTACATACATATGTACACACATATACAATAAATATAAATCTTTAGGAAAATCCTGAAACTCCATGTCAAAGCACCCATTTAACATTTGAGAATAGCGCAGGGTGGTGGTGGGACAGGTCTTTAATCCCAGCTTTTAAGGCGGAGGCAGGCAAAACTCTGCGAGTTCAAGGCCAATCTGGTCTAGTTCCAGGACAGGCTCCAAAGCTACAGAGAAACCCTGTCAACCAACCAACCAACCAACCAACCAACCAACCAACCAAACAAACAAACAAAACCCAACCAACCAAACAATAACAATAACAACAACAAACATTTGGGAATAGCTATGTTCTCTGTAAACAGAACACTGTTCAAAATTGCTGTAGACAATGAATGACCTTTTTAACAACTGAAACTCGGGATGGAGGTGGAGTTCAGGTGGTGGAGATTTTGCCTAGCATGCATGAAGTCCCAGGTCCGATCCACAGCACTGAATGAACTGGGTATGTTGTTATATGCCTGTAATTCCAGCTCTCCGGAGGTGGAGGGAAACTGAAGCTTGACTTAGACTTTAAAAAAGATACATTAAATCACTGTAAAATCCGAAGTCTGCTTTTCTTAAGCTAACACAAGCACGGCTAATACTCAACAGGAATCAACTGGTAAGAGGATAGCAGTCAAGATTGGAAAACCTCCTCACCAGCTGGCAAATAACACAAGACAAGGAATTAAGCAGCAGAATTAAGAATATAAACGCTACTACATGCTGTTTTATGTCAGAAGCACAACTCATCTGACTTGGAAGTTTGCAGTCTGCTGTAGATTCTTTTACTTTGAATAACAGAATTCACTTCCAGGTTCAGGAGACCTGAATGAACCGGGACACTAAGGTAGAACTAATGTTCGACTATCCTAAAGAGACACCAACCCTCTGGTCTACAAGGGCTAGACTTGGTGTGGATGGGAGACTAGGATCCCACTCCAGGTCCTCCTGAGGCCTCCTGCTCCTGGTGTCATGGCCCACAGGTCGGTTGAGGGGCTCACCCTTATTTGAAAGATGGTTGGCTTGATAACTGCAGGGCTCTTTCAGAAAGAATATTCAGGACCCCATGTCACAGGCAAGAATTCCTATTTTACATAGACTGCAGAGCTTCCTCTGCTCTTATATAGCTGACTGTATCTGTTCCCGCATTCCAAACTCCTGCGTCAGCCCAGCCTGTCTGCACTGTGCTGTTGCTCCTGTAACCCCAGGAGAGAGGAAATCATCTGTTTTCTCACTGAAGCAAAGCAGATCACTCAGCCTTTCCATCTCCTTCTCTGACTAATGTGCTCCCAGCACTGACTCCTGATTGTAGCCAGCTCCTGAATAGTACAATCCAGATTAATTAGGAGCAGGAAAATCCATTAAAGATTAGAAGGGGCTAGGAAGGCAGTGGCCACCTTGATTGGGCTTGCACAACTCCCAGGAATCCAGTAACTGCTGATTTATGAGGCAGGGGTCATGAGAACTGTGGTTCTTGTCAGTCTATGTCCCAAGCAAGAGGTGTTACCTCCTTGAGCTGCTTCAAACAGAGGCTGTCTAATGAACGGTGCATTCACGTGTGAACTCTTGCATTATAGCTGAATTTGAAGAATGAAGTGAGAGGTGCTCAGAGTTCACTTACATCCCAACTTAAGGTGGTCTGAATTCTCATCCCATAATGTGGTCACTGAAAGTGCATAGACACGTGTGGTAATACACACCTGTAATGCCCGTACTAGAGAGGACTAAGTAGAAGGACCACCTTAGTTCAAGGCCAGCCTAAGATCCCAGGTCAACAAACAAAAATAAACAACAACCAAACAACAACAACTGAAAGACCCGGATAAATCCAGACCCCTCTAGCAGGAAAAATCTAAGCAGGGAGAGAAGAATCAAAAATCTAGATTAGCCAGTTCAGTGACTGTGTTTCAGGAACTAGCTGAAGATAAAGTTAGATTATAATCTTGAGAAACAGGGAGTTACCCCCTTGTGATTATCATCGATATTTTCGGCATTTTTCAATGATCACTTATTTTCTAATGATGCCCTCCCTACACCCTTTGGATTACTGGGTTGCGGTTTCTCCCCTTAAATACCCCTTCTCCCAGCTACTCAGGGTCGAACTCTCTACTCCTGTGTGGGAAATGAGTTTCAACCCCAGTGCACTGGTTCCTGTCCTGTCAATAAACCTCGTGTGATTGCAGCAAGGACGGTCTCTTGTGAGTTCCTGGGGGGTCGTGTTATCCTGAGACTTGAGTGAGTCTCCCCCGCTTCAGAGGTCCTTCACAGCAACAACAAAAACATAAAAGTGAGCCAGGTGGCGGTGGCGCATGCCTTTAATCCCAGTACTCGGCAGGCAGAGGCAGTCTAATCTCTGTGAGTTTGAGGTTAGCCGGGTCTACAAGAGCTAGTTCCAAAACAGGCTTTAAAGCTACAGAGAAACCCTGTCTCGAAAAAACAAAAACCAAAACAAACCAAAACAAAACCCCAAAACATAAAAGCGGATAAAGGGAGCCAAGTTGAAACGCGCTTCGCCAGTTCCTCAAGAGTCTTTAGGTCTACTTGGCTGGAGGAGAAGCTCTATCTCCCTGGAGGACCTTACAAGGAACTGATGAGGCTGGGAGAGCAGCTTTGAAATGGTCAGGACTACATGTCTTCACGTTCACTCTGCACAATACATCCGACTAGGCTTACCCAATACTGCAGGAGTGCTTCAATAGCTCTGAACTCAAACGGCAGTGGGTACGTGACGAGCTGACCTTCTCCAGCCAGCTGTGATGGCAGTTCCCGGAACAGCCACTGCTCCAGGTTTAGATTCCGATAATCTAGTATCAGAAGATACTCTGGAGTTATCACAGCCTTCAAATACTAGAAAAGCAACAGAAAAGAATATATGTGTACACACACATATACACACATTCATCAAGATACAAGTTATCAGGCTGGAGGAAAAAGTAAATTCACAAAACAGTTTATTTCACTAATTATGAACTAAAACTAAATCAATTCAATGTCCATTTGGTTTTCTAAAAGTAAATAAAGGATTTTTTAATAAAGGAAGAAAATTCAAATATATGTAAGTGTTGATAATTATAAGTTGCTCTCAGAAGAACTGGAATTATACAAATCAGACAGTAATTACGGCTTCAGCCTGGTGTGGCACATATGTGTACAAAAAAATCCCAGCACCTGGGAGGTGGAGGAGAGCAGATGTTCAAGGACATGCTCAGCTACACACAAGTTCACGGCCAGCCTGGTATACGTGAAACCCTGTCTCAAAAACTCCAAACCCATAGCAAGACATCTGCCAGGGCATGCATGAGAAAAGTCAAGTTCCCTAAAACAGTCATGCGGGAGGCTGGTCAGGGCCAGGGCCTTAGGCCAGCACTGGAGAGCTGAGGTATGAAGACCGATATCTGAAGAGAACAGAAGGAACTGGCAGACAATGTAACTCCCCCCCCCCCTTCTGGACTGTGTGCACCACTACTCCCAGTTTTGCATTTTTTTTTAACCTACACACTGAGCAAGATGGCCAGGACTCACTGGTGAGCACAGTAGCACAGCGCTTACCTCCATCCTCATGATAATCCTGTTGTTCCTGGTAGTGATGCTCATCACGTGCTGAAACCTCAAGTCTCTGGCCTGGAGTGCTAACTCATGATATAATTCAGTTTTCTTCCTCTCTGGAAGAGAAGCCGAGTGGGTGAAACTAATCCCCAAACAACACGAGCTCCTACAGTGTCCCTCCCAGCCCCACCTGAGCAGTGTTCTCACTGAGCCTTTAATACCTATTCTTGCTTTCAAAGCAAATTCTCCCTTCTATATTTTTCTAGAGCATTTCACTGTGCTAAGCAGCCCATTGTGGGCTTAAGAGCCTACAGCAGTAATTTCTACCTTTGGACGTAGTCTGCCTCTCTGACAGGACGTCTTGCACTCCAGCCTGGCCTTGAACACATTACAAAGTCAAGGATGGCCTCAAACTTAGGACTATAGGAATGCTGAACCAAATCCAGTTGTTGCTGGGACTAACACTAGGTATTTCTAGCATTTTAGGCAAGCTATCTACCAACTGAGCGATATCTCCAGCCCATAGTCATTTTTCCTTGAACATGAATTTTATTAACTAGATTTTTAGGCTTATTAATTTTATGTACATGAGTGTTTTGCCTACACATATAGCTGGTGCCTGTGGAAGCCAGACTATTGCACAGGATCCCCTGGAACTGGAGTTATTGATGGTTGTGAGCCACCATGTGGGTGCTAAGAATTCAACCTAGGTTCTCTCCAAGAACAAGTGCTCTTAGTTGCTAAGCCACTTCTCCAGTCCATACACTTTCTATTTTTACCACTATGGCATCATTTTCAGTGTTGTGAATCTGTGAGTGAATTTGGTAATTATTGGACAATAAAAACTGAGAAAAGTTGATATTCACTGTAAAGTCTCCTATCTGAAAACTAAGTTTACTAGTTAAGAATATGGCAGATGAGAGAAACTTGTGATAGGCTGGGGATAGCAGTATCTGTATTTGTGTCAAACCACACTTCCCACAAGGCTACAAGCAAAAAAGCTTAGGAAGGAGACCCTGGTACAAACTCAAGGATTTAAGCAAGGATGGAACAGGACCATGGAGCTGCAGGGGAGAGGTGAAACTGGAGCCTCATGTAAAGCAATACCCAGCTCCATTTTTAGGAGTATCTGTCCAGAAGCAGGCTGTCACATGACTGCCACCCAGTGCCTTACCCTTCACCTTTCTCACTGTGGTGGCAGTGTGTGTAACGACACATGGACAACGCACTGTAATTCTACTTTAGACCTGTTTCATAATGAACAGAAATTGGATGGCTATGTAGGGGAGATAAATAGAAGAGACACAGGAGGGAGGAACAGCCTCTCCATACTCTGCTCTATTCCAAACACCCTGGGAGTCCAAGCGATTCCTGCTAAAAGGAGGTAATGCAGAGAATTGCACACAGGGGCTGCTAGCCCCATGAGGGCTGATGAACAAATGTTGAAGGACCTCTTTAACACAGCAGCAAATACAAGGAACACTGTATTTCAACACTACAATTTCCAATTTTCCACCAAATTCACTAGTCCATTGATAAAGATACTCACCAAAAGAAGTAACATTTCCTTCTTTGTCAAACTTTGTCTAAAGATAGAAAATAAAAACAAACATTAATTTCAATTCAGTATATTTATGTTCTGAGAAACACCCTCAAAATTTTGAAATGCAGTTATAAATCATATCTGATCCCAAGTTTAAATATAGCCGCAGAAGTCAGAAGGAAAATCCCTCTTTCCTTTGTTTAATATAAACCTGATGTTAGACTGACTTCCTATCTTGGTTCCTCCAGAAATCCATTCAGGAGAATTAGTCCTGTTTCCAGGTAACCTTGATTTGGGTAACAATGGCCTGATGAGTGAAGACATTGGGCTGGAAATGCTTTTAAGCCTTGCCACACTCATTGTGAGGGCCCTGGAACTGTTGCCAGGAGACACGGGGACTGTAAATAATGGACCTTACATCCTCCTCTGCAAGTTTACCCGTCAGCAGGCTAGGGAAACCTCAGGTGACTGCAAGGACTTTCCGGCCTGGAAGGGCCTTGACAACAGTCCCTGGGTTGGGGACATCACTCGGTGGAAACATGATGTCCTGCTTTGTTACAATTTATCCTTCTCTGGAGACTGGGACCAAGGAGTGGGTGCCTCACAAATCTAAATGTCTTCTTAGAGCTAAGAAGTCTCTGGCAGGCCCTGCAGAATGAGCAGAAATGAACAGAAAAGGTGCTTGCAGCAGTAGCAGCACACATGAGGTCACTAGGTGCTGCTCAGTAGAGGGACACTTTTCTGTATGCTGTGCCAGTCACGGTTGAAGGTGTCAACTGTGAAGGGCTGGACTGTCCCACGTAAGAAGGTAAACACAATCCAAGCATAGGTCTTGGTGAAACACACACCCTGGGTTACTGCTTTGGAAACAATGTGGGCTATGTTAGCAGAACCACAACAAACCTACAATACACACTTCAATCTCGGATCAACAGGAGGCAGAAGGAGAGGAAATGCCAAGGTCAATTTTTAATAAAAGCTTTGTATCTGTTATACAGATAGCTTGCCTTAGATTTATTTCTTAAACACATATACTCACTGCTGAAAATAAGAAAATTTGTAAAACTACTTAAATCATATGATCTGACAAATTTTAGAGAAAACTATGCCAATAATAACTTATACAGTGTCTTCCAGTGTTCCTGTAAAACATACCTCTACCAACACATAGTAAATGCTCTTACATTTCAAAATTTATATACCATTTTTCCTTAGTGGGATCCTTTTATGGAAGATATCACATAAAACTGACATTTAAAATGTTTGCTTTGTAACCAGCTCACTTTTCCAACTCATTCTTTTCAACAGAATCAGTTGATTGTTAAGTGTTCTTGGGAGAAACTTACTTGGCCTACAAAGAATTTTCTTTCAGTCATCATCTGACTTTATTTTCATTTGGGGAAAACGGGGTGGGCTCACAGTGTGGTTCAGGCAGGCCTTAAACTCAAATCCTTTTGCCATGGTTTCCTGAGTAGCTGGGTTGATTCTATTGTGAAGCTGATCAACTCCAGAGGACTGACTATGAGCAATGACTTCCCAGGTAATTCTGTGGAACAGGGCGTGGGGCCTCAGGACTGCATCCTCGCACCTGGAAGCTGCAGCAGGAAGACTGACTTATTAGTATGAACCTAGGTTGGGCTAACCAGGCGGTTTTTAGCTCAGCCTGGTCAATTAAGTGAGATTGTCTCAAAAAAGCAAAACAACAAACAAACCTCAAACAACAAAAAAAGGAACAAGCAAATCTGACATGCCTCTTATCTTATATTGTCCATAAAGAAAAGTTCTTTTAGTTGGGTGGTGGCGGCGCAAGCCTTTAATCCCAGCGCTTGGGAGGGAAGAGCAGATAGATCTCTGATTCCCAGGTCAGCCTGGTCTATAGAGAAACTCCGTCTTGCAAAAACAAAAACAAAGTTCTTTAGCTGGGCATGGCTGTACACACCTTCAATCCAGCACTTGGAAGGCAAAGCCAGGCTGATCCTGAGTGCTCCAGCCTAGCTAGTGAGGCTTAGTGAGACCTGTCCTAAAGTTCTTTAAGAAGTTAATATTAATTAAACCCAAATATTTGTAAAGACCTACACATGCTGGATGGTTATGATGTCTGAGGCACCACTGTCAAATTTTGTAAGTTGCTTCCATTTTTAAAGTAGTTTTTATAATGTAGGTGCTGTAATTTTTCCTTTTATGAATATGTCTGAATGTTTATATAGGTACCTGGAATACAGGAGGTGTTGGACCCCTGGAGCTGTGGCTAATGTGGTTGTGAGCCACCCAGTTCGGGTGTTGAGAGTGAGACTCAAGTCCCCTGGCTTTCTCTCCAGCTCCTAGAGCATGTCTATTTCTAGTTCAAAAATGAGCAAATTAAAATACGATGATGTTATCTCAGCTTCCTTTAATGCTCACGAGTACCTAAGGCAGTTTATTCCTAGTTATTAATGAGAAAACCAAGGTACAAGATGTCACAATAACTTGTCCAAGTCCCCCAACAGCGAGAGAGCACTCTGAGGTTTAAACTCAGGAAGTTTGGCTCAGGTTAAGCCCTTTTTCTTAAAACTTTTTTGGAAACCACAAAAGCTTACAAAATGAGCTACAAAAACAATCGGTTTGTAATTTTATATAGGCTAATTTTTGCTAACATTTTGCCACCAAAGGCTTTATTTCTTAAATGTGTATGAGCACGTATGCACAAGTGCATACACACAGATGTGTTATTAATTCACTTACTTCCCCCAAATCACTTCACAGTGTTGAGATCACAGCTGCCCCTCAGGCGTGCACTTAATACTGCACTCTGCTGCCTTTCCATCATCTTCCAAGGCTCTCAGTGGCTAGGAGCTCCCAAGGGATTCTAAGCAGACTTAGAAATTCTGGTGTGTTCACAAGAGAAACTTTGGGGCTGGGAATGTAGCTCAGTTGATAGAGTAGAGTGCTTGCCTTGCATACAAAAAGTCCTGGGTTCAATTCCCAGGACCACATAAAGTAAGTGTGGTGGCACATTAAAACTTAGCATGGTGGAGCACCCTAGACCACACAGTGAATTTGAAGTCAGTCTAAGTTACACGAGACCTGTTACAAAACAGAGCAAACTTTGGCTGCTGGTGCGAACCCTTAACATGTACTACATAAACTTTTCATTCTACCAGAAAGGAGACTTTGAGCTGCCATTTGAGCAGCCTGTGCTGTACAGTGAGAACTCAGTCATTAGTAAAGCGTCAAGAGTACCACTAAACCAATCTCGGGCACTTGGGTCACTGGCCAAATATAATCCAATACCTCTGCCAACCATTCAACCCTGTGCATTCATTTCATGAGCATGTGCAGTGCTTCTCGCACATTACTGTATGAGGTGCACTCACCACAGCAAACACTTGGGCCACGCTGGCTAAGGTAGCCTGAGAGGCATCGGAGGTTCTAGACCGGTGCACATCACCTAAGAAGAAAAGTAGAGAATGAAATGTCCCGTGAGCACGACTGGTTTTCTTGGAAGCTCAATTGCAATTCTCACAGTACATGGAACCTCCGGAACACCTTGTGTTTTGAAACTTTTTCCTGCCGGAAAAAGCAACACTTGTTATGTTAGGATTCTAGCTGTTCTCCCCTACCTATTCTGTCCTTCCTCCTGCTTCCATGTACTAAGCCCATACCACTTGTTGACAATCTGAGGTCGGCCCTCTATGGCTGGGAAGGTCAGGTGGAGCTGAGGCAATCTCAGGGCCTGTCTTATGCACAAGGCCCTGGGTTTTGTCCCAAGCACTGCACAAAAGTAAAAAAATATATATAATAAATATATATTATTTTGTTCACTGGGCAAATGTGAACAATGCGGAAGTCAAAAGTGACGTTGCAGGTGTCTGTTTTCTCATTCCACCATGTAAGCTCTAGGGACTGAACAAGTGCCAGAATTTAAAGTGTCACCACGATTACAACTCTAGATTTCAATGTTCATTCTAAAAGTTCTTGCATCTTGCAGACCACTTGGTTCCCAAGCATGATCAAGGGAGGGCAAAAGGCACCTAACCAAAAAAGACTGGGTCTGAGGAGGTGCTTACCAACATTTGGTAAATTCTTAAGTACAACTTTTTGATTTTTTTTTTGATTTTTCGAGACAGGGTTTCTCTGTGGCTTTGGAGCCTGTACTGGAACTAGCTCTGTAGACCAGGCTGGTCTCGAACTCACAGAGATCCGCCTGCCTCTGCCTCTGCCTCCCGAGTCCTGGGATTAAAGGCGTGCGCCACCACCGCCCGGCTTAAGTACAACTTTTTAAAAAAGCACCAGAAACCACCGTTGTGTTAGGGCTGTTTGTTCCGAGCAGAACCTGCACTCCCATTTCGTCACACATCACCACTGGGTGACAGAAACACCAGCAGCAAGAATACTCCTTTCTTCGCCCAGAGCTCCCTGGCTGTCTGCTTACACAGTTAAGAGCAGACTTCATCCACAGTTAGCGCTCACCACCGGCTTCAGATTCTTCAACTTCACTTCTAGGAATTCCCTATTCTATACCAGGGCAACTGTGCTAATGTATAAATGTACCCGGAAGAGAAATTAACAAAATAAGCAGAATTAATAACATCCCAATCTTGCTAATCGTGGTTATTTCACTCAGCTTCGAGTTTGATCTGGATTCACAGTGAGTTCCAAGCCAGTGAGACCTTGTCTCAAAACAAAACAAAAAAAACCCCAACCTAACAAAATTCTGTGACATGAAAGCAGAAGGGGGCATACGGAGGCAAAAAGGCCAGCAGGAGGGAGATGGTTATCAAGGAAAAATATGTATAAAAGTACCGTTACGAAAACTTTGGACTGAGCAGATGGCTCTGCCGGCAAAAAACGCCTGCCGCCAAGCTTTTACTACCTGAGTTCCGTCCAGGACGGAACTGACTTGAGCAAGCTGTCATCTGACCTCCCCCGCACACACAGAGAAAGACACACCCACGCTCGGACAACTTAAATGTTAAACTTATAACAAGAACAACAAAAAACCCCAAAACTAGCCTAACGGTTAACGCTCCTAATTGCAGAATTCAGAAGGCTGAGACAGGAGGACTGCTGCCAGTTCGCGGCCAGCCCTGTCTCAACAAACAAGAAACCACACTCGAGTCCCCGCAGTGCTGGCCTGAGAACCGCGGGCAGGGCCAGTGCCGCAGGTCGCACAGCGGTGAGGCGGGGACAAGGGCAGGCGGGGCCCCGCGGGACGCGCTCGCTACCTGCAGCGCCGGGCAAACTCGGCGCCTTCTGGTTCCCGGAGAGCAGAGGGGTCGCGCGACCGCAGAAGGCAACAGGGCTCAGGCGCGCGACACACAGGGCCCGCCGGGACTGCACGGCGCGGGGTAGCAGCCGGGGCAGGCAGCGCAGGCACTCCATGGTGCGCAGGCAACCGGGAGACGGCAACCAGACGCCGGCCCGGCATGCCGGAACCCGGGTAGATCTGCGTACCGGGACAACCGCGCACCGCGCCTGCGCGAGCCGTCCCCGCGCCTGCGCGCCGCTGTCCACGCATGCTCAGGCGTGGACCGCCTGTGCGAGCGCCTCCTGTGTCCCATGACTGACGGAGTCTGCGTCCTGTACCCCGGTTGGCACCTGCAAAATGTGAAGGTAGACAGAGCAGAGTAGCTCGACTCCGAAGTTATCCATTATTTCCGTGAGCAACGCATTGCTGCTTTCTGAAAAGGTTCCATATGTATAACGAAATAAGTAATTTGGAGACGAAGAAGTTGCCACCAATCGTAAATCGTTTTAAGCTTTGTTTAAGCTTGATGTGTTAAAACTCACTTAGAAGGGACAGTGGGTTGAACTTTTGCTATTGAACAAGGAGAAAACGAAGCGAGCTGAGTGGTGCCACGCGCAGCTCGCCCGTAATCCCTAGAGAATTCAAGGTCATTCTCAGCTAGAGTTTCAGGCCAGCCTGTGCTACTTGAGATCCAGTTTCTACACCCTCCCCAGACGTGCCCCCCCCCAAGAAATAAGACTATGTCAATTGATTGTTTCTCCTCTCCACAGTACTAAGACAGACATGAGTTTCAGAGTTCCCTTCATTAATATATGAACATGAAGCTATGGGAACAGTCGCCCATTTATCTTGCGGGACGTTGAGAACTGAGTAGAAGTTGGGAGGCAGTGGACAAAGGGAAGAGACTTGGATGTTTGACTTGGACACTGAGGGCTGGAAGTACTTTAAGCATTGCTGCTAGGAAGAGCCTTGAGTGTACAGAAAATACATGATAGAATTTTCATTTTACTAGAACTTTAATAATGTGCTAAATCTTTGAAAAATATTATGTGCCAGGAAACACTCCTTTGAGGAAAAAAAACTATTTAAAAAAGTCACATGATTGCTCCTCCTACCCACGATCCCTGCCCTATGTCCTTTGCAAACCCTTAGGCAAATGCTGGCGACTCTTCAGACACACGGTCTTGTGTGATTAATGCCAAGGAATTGAAATGTAAGCCAAAAAGAATAAGAGTCATTGGGGGATTGTGAGCAAAGAAAAGAGTGGCAAGTTAATAATCTGATTTATGTTTATTTAATTCTTTTATAAGTGTTAGGACATTGAACACAACACCTTTTCCTTGCGAGGCAAGCTTCTGTCCTGCTAGGATTGGGAATTCAAGGTTCACAGGTAGTCTGAATTCAAGAGAGTCTGCCAACAAACAAACAGATAAAAGAAGCATACCAAAGCCTTTTCACTTAAGCTTTTAAACGTTTGGGCCACTGTACCTCAAAAAGCGACCAGCATTGACTATGATCTATTGTTTTATTTTGTTTCTCTGCCTCAGACAGTCTCACACACCCGTGCTGTTACAGCTAAAGATAGCCTTGAACTCTGATCCTCCTGCTTTCTCTACACATCACATTATAGGTTTCATCACCACGAAGGGCTGCACAAATAGCTCTGTAAATGGACTTAAGTGTGACTCTCTTTTGGAAAGTCTCACTCGCTGTGTAGTGCTGGGGGGCCTGAAACTGGCTCTGTAGACCCGGCTGGCTTTAAACTTACAGCAATTTTTCTGTCTCCGCCTCTCAAATACTGGGTTAGCCTCAGCTATGCAGTGAATTCAAGACTAGCCATATCTTAAAAAAATGTCAGCTTTCTGTTCTGGATACACCCTCACAGATTAATCAAGTTGACACTAAAATTAGCCATCACAGAATTTAATATATTAGTATTAGTTAAACATATTCTATTGTTTTTAGATAGTTTTGAGGTTTTTTTTTTTGATCGGATCTCACTGTGTAGCTCTGGTGGTTCTGGAATTCACTATCTAGCACAGGCTGGTCTTGAACCCACACCATCCTCAGCCTTAGCCTCCTAAGTGCTAAAATTAGAGGCATGAGCCCGGACAGATGTTTCTTATTTTGTTGCATCTGGGATGCTTTAGGAGCTGGTCCTAAAACAATTACTTTCCTTGGATACTGGAGAAATGACAGTGTTCCAGTTGGTCTTCCCTATTCTTCTGGCTTACAATGTGCTTTTTTTACTAGTGGGTATGCTTCGCTAGTGAAAGCATTCAGACCCATCTGGAACGAGTTTAAACACATCCACATTCTGAGTACTTTATTTCTTCAAGGGACAAGGGTATTTGAAGTTGTATCTTATATCAGCTATCAATCAAAAGACATAAGCATGTTTTCTTCCTAGAAACAATGGCTAGATATTGAGACTATGTTGTATTATGAGGCAAATTGCACAGGCTTAAAGAATGTAATCAAACAAGAAATCTAGCTTATGAGTGTCTTATAAATTTAATATTTTCCCCTAAAGCTTTGGTAAAAATGTATTTGCTTTTACATTTAATAGACACTATGAAATTTAAACTTCAATGTGTTTGGTGGAGATGACCTAACTGTCCTTGGAATTCCCCCTACCCATGCTTAAAAGGAGCCTGGGAGCTTCTCTTGGGGTTGCCACCATTTTATGTGTGGCTGACTTTTGCGTGCTGGTGGAATTATTCTTAGCATTTCTCTTCTTTCTGGGCGGTGAGAGGTGCCCTGTGCACAACATCTAACACTTCCTGAGTTCCCATCCTAGGCCCAGTAGCACCTTCTCTTGAGACCTTATAATAAAGAGCATCTCCATACATTTCTACCATCATCCTAGGGAAAAAACCCGCCTCCTTTTGCATCCCACTGTATTTTAAATAAGGACACCCCTAAGACCTTTTCTTTTTGAAGATAACATCCTTTAAAGTTAATATTTTTTCACATATGATAGACATTAAAAATGACAAAAACTGGAGCTAGAGAGATGACCTAGTAGTTAAGAGTGCTTGTTGGTCTTCCAGAGTCCATGAGTTTGATTTCCAGTAGCAAACTCAGGCAACTTAAAACTGCCGTGACTGCAACTCCAGGGGATCCAGTGCTGTTCTCCAGACTCCAGAGGCACCACCTACCACGCACACACCGCACACACAGATGTAAATAAAAATAACGCTAAAGGTCACACTTGCTAGAAAATCAGGCACCTTGCTGGCAGACTTTCCCTTCTCTCTATTGCTATTCCCCCAGATCCAGTCCCCCAGTCTCATCCCCAGCTCTGCAACAGAACACCCGTGGCAACCTTCCCCACCAACCCCCCATCTTTTATGGATCTCACAGATGTTATGATCTCCCCACCCCACTGCTTGTTGCTTTGTCCCAGACCCCAATCTCAGTAGGCTTCCCCAGCTAACCCAAGGGCCAGGACGAACAAGTAGGCTGAGGCCAAACCCACACCTCACCCACTGCCCCTGACATACGATCTCCACCCCTACCACAGTCTTACTCCCAGCTGTGAGGCAGGAAACCCACTGAGATCTCCTTTTCCTCTCTGTTTCCCAGTGGATCACAAAGACCTTCTCTAGTCTTCCTCTCTCCAAGTCATCTCAGTATCGCAACCTCCCACATCAGCAGGCATTCCCTATGAACACACCAGCAGAGCAGGCCAGTAAAACAGGCAACACACACCCATCACACTCTCCAAAAATCCAGAGAGGAAACAGAAACCCAGGAACACTCACCCATCAAAAACAAACCCAGAAAACAGGACCTATCTATAATCATCCCAAACCCAGATGTCTAGATGCTGGCATAAAAACACAATCAATATTCCCATCCCCACCCTCCTCAGTCTACTCATGAAATCTGTTCGGATATCCCCCCCCCCCACCACCATGAACCCTCTTTGTTACCTACTCTTTCTGGATCTGTGGATTGTAGCATAGTTATCCTTTATTTTACAGCTTATAAGTGAGTACATACCATGTTTGTCTTTCTCAGTCTGGGTTACCTCACTCAGGATGATTTTTTTTTCTAGTTCCATCCATTTCCCTACAAATTTTCTGGTGTCTTTGGTTTTAACAACTGAGTAGTACTCCATTCTGTAAATCTACCACGTTTTGTTTATCCATTCCTTGGTTGAGGAACATTTAGGTTGTTTCCAAGTTCTGGCTATTACCAATAAAGCTAGCTGCTGTGACCATAGTTGAGAAAGTGTCCTTGTGGCATGGCTTAGCACCATTTGGGTATATGACCAAGAGTGGTATAGCTGTGTCATGTGGCAGATTTTCTGAGAAACTGCCACACTGACTCCTAAAGAGGCTGTATAAGTTTGCGCTCTCACCAGTGATGGAGGCACGTTCCCCTTGCTCCACATCCTCTCCAGTATGAGCTATCACTTGTGGTTTTTGATCTTGGCAATTCTGACAGGTATAAGATGGAATCTTGGAGTCATTTTGATTTGCATTTCTCTGATGGCTAAGGATGCTGATCATCTCCTTAAGTGTTTCTCAGCCATTTGAGACTCTTCTGTTGAGAATCCTTTGTTTAGATCTGTACCCCATTTGTTAATTGTATTGTCTTTTTGGTATCTAGTTTCTAGAATTCTTTATATATTTTGGAAATCAGCACTCTGTCGGAGGTGGGGTTGGATAAGATCTTTTCCCATTCTGTAGGCTGCTGTTTTGTCCTATTGCCAGTGTCTTTTGCCTTACAGAAACTTTTTAATTTCATGAGGTCCCATTTATTAGTGCCCATCCTAGTGCCTGTGCTATTGGTGCTCTGTTCAGGAAACTGTCTCCTGTACCAATGCATTCAGATTATTTCCTACTTTTTCTTCTATCAGGTTTAGTGTATCTGGATTTATGTTGAGGTCTTTGATCCACTTGGACTTGAGTTTTATGCAGGGTGGTAGATATGGATCTATTTGCATTCTTCTACATGTTGATATCCAGTTGGACCAACATCGATTTCTCAGGTTGGGGGAGTGTGAAGGGGGAGAGTACTGAAAGAGACTACTGGAAAAGGGGTGGCATTTTAACCTGGCACAAGGAAATTTCCCAGGAATCTATAAGAATGACCCTACCTAAGACTCCTAGCAATAGCGACTGTGTAGCCTGAACTGGCCATCTCC